ATGGCAATTATTGTGTTTCTGACTGTTCTTCAAGAATCAATTAAGAGTGATATGGCAAACTACCACTGTGTAACCGTACATACAGCTGCTTTAGCATAGTGAGTCTATACTTCAGACTACATGTTGATTTAGGCCTCCCAAGGTGCTACTGGTATAATTGGACAGCAGTGAAAAGGGAACAAAGTCATATATACCTAAATTAAAGCTTCAGAGAAATGTGATAGTACTAAACAGTACATGAAAAGGGGATATATACCAATGGTTATTTCAATGTGGATTTTTAGTAAGTCCATTCAAAAGAGAAAAAAATAATTTTGTGAGAGATGTACATGGGTTGAAAAGATTGCAGTTGGCTATTTCAGTTGGGTCACTGATATGTCAGTGTATGATTAAGTAACTATGTGACATGCATTTAAGAGAATAACCCACATGTATTGTTTAGTACTTGTGAATTGAAACTGGTTTAAGGGTGTGTTTGAAGCAGTAAGAAACAAAGTTTTATGTATGTGATTTGAAAACCTCTAGAAATTTGCGACTTAAAACAAATGTTGACCCTATGTACACAGTTACATGTATTGAAAATTGTAATTTTTTTGCAGAGAGAGCTCCATAAGTGCTCAGCCACCTTGAGAGTCCATTCATAGCCCAGTATGACTTCACTTGATATCCCTATTCCTTGAATTCATTTGCTTTATCTATCTATCTATCACAGTCTATGTATATCTCTCTCATGCTATTAGAATCAGGTCATTATTATTATTATTGACTGTATGATTATTATGATATTAGTGAAATACTAATAGCAATAAAAAATAGAAATCTTTCTGAAAAGCGAGGAAAAGGAGTATGTAGGACTTTTAATTGACTCATTGATTGTGTACTTCTGGAGCCATCTGTGTGCAAACAATCACTAAACTAAAATCTCAGTGATGAGAGCATGTATGGCATGCCATCCAAGCATAAGGGGTTAACAGAGAAGTATTAAATACAAATTATTTTTACAGTGAATTCTGTACTGTATGTAACTGCTCAAGAACACTATGGATTTATTGGCAGTTTCTGTATGAAATTACTTTGGTGTTTTGACAAACTGATATGTAACTGCTCAAGAACACTATGGATTTATTGGCAGTTTCTGTAGTTTGTCTTCTGATTAAAGCATATAAATTGTGTTGTTTGCACTGACAGGCCTAGCTTGTTGTGCATCAGTTCCCAAGTGAATTGATTAAAGAGGAATTCAAGTTATGGGTAGTATGTCAATTTTCCCAACAGTTTACTATCCCCTAATTGTTACAAAGTAGCTTCGGTCCTTCCTTTGCCGGTAATCTGTTATGCATCATAAATCCATCAAGTCTAGGATGGTACCTTTTCAGAAAACTTGTTTGGGTGTACTTTTATTTATTGTAGTACTTTTTCTGTTCTTGTACAGGAGGTATTGTAAGTGACTTTCAAGGTTGTGTAAAGGCTTTTTCAATTTTTTGACTATAGTGAAAGTATTTCTTTCAAAACTGAAGAAGAAAGTTTGTCATTTCATACTCTCACTTCAGCAAACCTTGCTGTGTTTGTTAAATGAGAGCATGCTGCTGTCTACTTTTTACTAGTTCATTGGGCTGGCTAAGTAGTGCATTTTACAAGCCCACAGCTAGTTTTACTAGACAACAACCGTCGGGCCAATAATATGGTCGAGTTCTTTTCAGTTAATTCAAAGAAAGGAAAGTGGTATGAGTTCTGTATCTGCATTACTATATAAGTATGAGGGAGTGAATGTGTGTTAAAATTTAGGTGTTCCAGTTGTATGTGTTTATTTCTGTATCTGAATGTTTATATAATGATTTATGATTGCAGTTTCAATACCTTGTGGGATAGTTTCATGGAAAAGCAAAATAAGTCATTTTTTAAATGTTTATGCATATTAGATAATTTACAAGATTGTTTTCTATGGGGAAAAAAATGAGGTTATCAGATATGCGAGATTTGAAATATAGATTAACAAACAAAAGATTAGATTCATTCATGTACAACATTCACATGCATGTGCTTGTGCTGCAAGTATGAAAATAACAAGTGAATGGGGGACTAGGGAACCACATTGTAATGTTAGCTGCTATTTGTTTCTCATATAGCTTTCATTTTGCGGTATTGCATTGTGTTGCATCCTGTAGTCTTCCTCCATAATCCCTGAGAACCCCATTCCAAAACATTTTTCTACTATGTACAGATTATTACATACCTGCATAATACTTTTATTAACCTTTTGAGGATAGGAGCTAATGTATACATGCATTGTCCATGGTGGTTTGGTTTTAATTACTTTATTTATGCAGATCCTTCATAGAAGTCCTTAGTTACTAAGGAGTCCATAAGGAGGCTATTACTAGCCTACCTACCCTTTCCTTGCCTATTTCCTTTGTTTCTTGAATATTCAGAAGAAAGTTAATAATGTTATGATCATTAAAAAAAATTAATGATGATACTAGGTAATGTTAACAATGGTAATAATAGTAACAAAAAAATCAAACACAAGCATGAGCTTAATTGCTCATGCCATTCTTTGATCAGGCAGGCAAATGATTGACTTCTTGGTGACTAAGAGTATGTGAGGTCCTCTGTGTTTAAGCAAATTTATTAAGATAGAACAACAATGGATAATATGCACACCATCAATAGTAGATGTCAGTGATGTGTTTATTTGCTTTACTTTCCCCCTATAATCTGGAGTGTGAAAATTACATTTCAGATTAATTTTTTTTTAGTGTTGAATTTTATCCTCAAACCTGTAAAACTTATAACATTATTTAAACCAGAAAATGATTTATGTATCTTTTTGTCATAATATTTAGCAATATTCTAAAATTGTTATACGATATTTAAAATGTTTACCTGTCACAGAACAAGATTGAAGAGGTGAATGACATAATGCTTCTTAAACATTGATTAAACACCATTCAAGGGAATATGTTACCTCTATTTTTGCTGTTTACCATTACATTAAGCATGCTTTGTTGGAACCAACCTACCTAGCAAATTTTTTTACGATTTTCTCTCTATAGGTCAGTAAGAAAGAGAGAGGTCTATATTTGTATGTATTTGGCAAATTGTCCTCCTAGTGATACCGATTATTACTAGAACCTTTGCATTGCTAAGGGACTGCTTGCACAGAGCTGGAATGCTCATGCTGGCCAGGAGATGTACTTGGTTTCCTGATGCTGATAATTGTCATTTCTTTCTTTCTTTCACCATTTATTTCCCTTTGTATTCAATTTTGTTGGCGGAAAATCAAGAAACGAGAAATGTGTCTATTTCGGCTTTGTAGATGCAGACTTTTTGGCTGATCTTTTGAATCCTTGCCTGGATACAACTTCTATGGATGTAGGAGCAACTTGTGCTTATAAGAAGTAAATTTGGGTCCCAAATTTTTTATTTTTGGGGAAGCATTTTGTGGAGGTAGGGGCACAGGTATTTATTGTATAGGCTCTGATTTTACAAATACTCTTACTCTGCAAAAGGAGACCAGACTACCCGAAACTATGCTGGCAATTATAGGGATAGAGCACTATCACTGTCCATTTCTCTTATCAGATCAAGTAAAGGATATAGGGAAAGAAGGTTTTAGAAATTCTGTGGTAAAGCACTAGTTTTTCATTTGGTAGTCTTTGGTTTGCACCTAGTCAGACCCCTCCTAGTTGACGTGGTTGTCAGTGAGTTTTGGCATTAGCTAGGAGGCAGACTTGGGGTGGAAAGGAGCTGGCTACCCTACTATGTTATCCCTCAGCTAAAAAAAAACTACTCTTGGTACATATGTACCCTCAGCTGTACACTTGGGTTTGGAACCAATTCAGGCTTCATTGTAAAGAAATGGATGGATAGATTGTAGATTTTTACCTTTATTTCCTTTGGTATGTTGTTTTGATAGCTGAAGTATTAGAATCTTCAAGACTACACCCATTAGGGAAAGAACAAAGTCTATGTAGCTAGGACCAGGTAGTCCCTGAAATACAGAAAATCTGAAGTCTTGTATTCAGAATGAAGGCTCTCTATTAATGAAATCTGTTAGCAGTAGAAAATCTAACAGGAGAGAGATGTTACAGACAATTGCTTATAGTGTTTTGCAGATATTCATAAGCAAAACATCATATATTACTGTATACTGATGAAGTTTTGTATGACCCCTATGATTTACTGACTAGAGGTCTTGTGCACTAAAATGTTATTTAACTTTGTGTGGGTGGGTGTGGGTTGGTGGGTGGGTGTAAGGCATGTGCAAGAGTATGAGACTGCATCTTTGATGTGAAGTATTTGTAAGCCAAAGCTATGAAGGAAGCTGAAAATACATAAAAGGTCAGATGTTGATTTATTTTCATTTAGTTTTACTTAGGATAAAGCTCTGTTAAAAGCAAAACCAACCATTCTCCCAAAATAGGGTTCATAAATAGATAGTGAAAATTAGTGAAAGGTCTAGGGCATTTTAGAGGTAGCATTAGATGAGCATATAGGTTGCAAATGATGCATATGTGTAAGTGTAAGTTTAAGGAGCTGTTAGGACTGAACAGTAGCTGTTGCTTGAGGCCCACATAGGTGTGCACCTACAAGCTACACACATTGTAACTACAGGTCTTACTCCCTACAGCGCTAAATATGGTGAATGGCATCACGGTGAACGGGCTTGGAGAAGTGGCACTAGAACAAGGACCTTCTCTCATCACCCTTGGTAATTAAAGTTCTTTACTCTGTATTTTGCACATTATTTGTTTGTAATACCCCTCCCCTGCTCCCCCCTTCCACCCCCTCCCTGCCAGTTCCCTTGTTCAAGGCATGGAGATGAAGTGTAGTTTGCCTGACTTGATCTTTTGATAAAAAATAAAAAAAAAATAGTATTGTACTTCTTTCTTATTTTTAGTCTATTTTTTACTCTTAGATAGTAATCCTGGTTACCTAAAAAGTAGTGTATGTACGGCAGTGCTTTGAATTTCTGTCCCTACCATTTTAGCCTCTATATCCACTGACATTTTAGCAAGGTTACTAATTTTGTATCTACATAGGGTAGTCTTCCTAATCATATAAGGTGACAAGGGAATGTTTGCTTAATATTATTATTTTTTTTTTTTTTTTATTTTTTATTTTTTATTTTTTTTTCAATGGGATTAAGGCAGTAATTGCTGCTGAGTACTTGCTCATAACCTAGCCAAAATAGTGCTTCTCTATTAACTCATGAAAAGCTATGTAGTGTGGCATTGGAAATTGCTCTTAGTTTAACTACTCCATACATTTATACCTATTGGTAGACATAACTGTTCAAAACACACACATGCACACAGTTAGATTAAGGTTTAGAACATACATTTATATACTTATGCACATGATATCAAAGAGTTTTTGAACACAAAACCACCACTGTCACCAAGTATCACAGCTTTAATTCCATGCAAAGCTTCCCACCAATCCCCCTCCTCAGCAGAGAGGCAGTATCCACAGGACTCTCCAACTGGGCTGGATGCATCCTTTTCCCTGTCATGTGCAGTTTTTCAATTCCACTCTTTATTTAAACAAGGCTCTTTAATTTCCTGTAGTTTTGCATTGGTGCATCTTGCAAAACTCTGCATCCAATAAAGGCATTGTCCAGTTCATCCACACCTTGGTATTTTTTTTCCTCTTTGGATTGATCTTCCTTTTTTCTGCGAAAACATGTCTGGGACATGTTTAGCTAATGTGTTTTGGAGGAATAGAAGACATGGGGAAAAGTTTTTTCCGTTTCCTCGGGCATTAGGGTTGGTTGTCAGACTTGGCATTGGCTTTTTTCTGTCTCCTTTTGTTCACTCTGCAACTTTATTTTGAGTCTTGATGCTTTCATTGAGTCTTGAGTTTTTATGTATTAGATTACACACATCTTTCACAATCTTTCTCATGTGTTGTTTTTTAAGTGATCTTTACAAGTTTTACCTATTAAAGATTAGGAGGAGATAGTTTGCATGTATTGTCAATTTTAAAAGTAATGTTTTCAGTAATGCATGATATTCATGTTATTGTTAGCTGTATTAATAATAATCAGAAGAAAAGTTTGGATGGAAATGAAGTGGAAGATCATAACAATGTACAATGATGGTTTTGTAAAACGTATTAGAAGTCATCATATGGTTAAAAGCTTTATTTATGATATATATATATATATATATACATATATATATATTATAAAAAGATACTCAAAAATTTATTGAAAATTTATGAATTTAAACTTCTAAAGTATGTAGAGCCATCAGAAATATTCATATTATTGTTTTTAGTAATTAGGAGATATAACTGGCAGTACACAAGGTTGGTGCTCTTATATTGCATTCCTGCTTGCGCAACAGGACTGATGTAAGATTATGGCCGCTCTCTCTCTCTCTCTTTCAGACTCATGCGGAACTTGGCGTTAAATCTCCGAAAAAAATGGATGTGCACTTTGCCCCAAAACCACAAAGCATTGTAGGCTGTATGTGTATGTGTGTGTCGCATGCGCTCCTGAGAAATGGGGCCGCTGCACGAGGCTCATTCTTGCAATGAGGGGGGCGCAGCGACATGATCCTAGCCATTCCTAGCATGCTTGCGTGGTTTTGGGGGGATGCATTTTGTTTTCAATTAGTATTCTCCACGAGAGCCATGTTGCTGTGCTTTACAATTTTCTCACGTCTCACTTTTATCGCTGCTGATAATTTCTTGTGTGGTTTCAGTGCTGATGACAATGCATAACAAGTATTCCTTTTAAGATGCAGTAATGCTAGGTTATGATTGATATCAAGGTGTTAGGGTTGTTGGTACTACTATTAAAAAAGATTAAAAAAAAAAAAAAAAAAAAAAAAACTGAAGCCAATTGTGTCTAGCTGGAGAAGTCTTATTTGCTGAGATGATGATGAGGCTTTTAATCAGTTTCATGAGCCCTGTTGTGTAGACCAGTAGAGAATAATAAACTTTTGGAGCACCAAACTTGAATTTTTCTCACCATATGACTCGGTCTGAGGGTTTGCTTGAGAAAAGTGTGTGAATGTGAGAGAATGTTTTCTTGCAGATGTGTATTTATTTGATTCTCATGAGGTATATAGATGTGTGGGGGGGGGTGTGGGTATGTTTGTGTGTGGATGTGTGGAAATGTATGCATATATATTTATTCACAAGTATTGCCTTTGTGTATGTGTGTAAGATACAATCTGACAAAGACCTGAGTAAATTTAATACACATTATTTTGCAGCTGCTTTGATCTATTAAAAGCAGTTGTTCTCAACTATATATATATATATATATATATATATATATATATATATTATATTTTTTTTTTTTTTTTTTTTTTTTTTTTTTTTTTTTTTTTTTTTTTTAATGACACGTCAGCATACTGCATACAAATATTGTTCATTGAAACAATTATCAGTTAGTCTTTGTGAAATGTTCTTAAGGTATTTGGAAAGAAACTACCTGCAATTTCTGGAAAAGAGATAAATTTATGTGCATGTTGTGATTTGTAGTTTTTAATTGTATGCAAGAACTATACTCAAAGGAGATAATTTATTTGATCACCAGTACTTTTTTTTCCTATTTTCTTTTTTCCATGCTTGCACTTTTTTCCTGTTTCCTCTCCCTTTTCTTCCTTTGTTTTCTCCTCCTCTTACTCTATTTAATTACAAGAATGACAGTCAAAGAGAATAATACCAAACAGTTTGGTAGACCACAGAATTTTTTGTACATGCAGTTTTTAATTGTACAGTAGCCATTTCCTTCATTTGTGTGAGGTTGTCCTCACTTCTTGTATTTAATTACCTTTGTCATTTGTTAAAACAGAGGATAAGAAAAACGTGTGAATACAGGACTTAAGCACAAAATTAGTCCATCAATTTTTTTAGTATTGAAAAGGTATTTAATTCTTTTTGTGCAGATATTACTACAGATACCATTTCAGTGGTTAAGAGATTTAATGTCTAATATTCTTGGAAAATGGTTGTTCCTATGTATTTGATTGATTTTTTATATAATAAATCTGTGTAACATAACTTACCTGATTTGGAGGAGTGTGGATAGAGGAGTACAAGCAACATTGAGATACATGAAAAGATAACGGAAAAGGTATTATCTGTTCCTTGAAATATTCAAATATGAGGTAACATTAATACAGATTTTGACATGTATGCTAAAGGAAAAGAAAATTAGTGTTGATCTTATGTATAGCATAAGGTAGATTTGCATGTAGCTATTGAATAAGTATTAAAACAGTTTGTAATAACCACTTGCCACTACTAATAACTAGTTTGAAGAAGTAATGAGAGTAGAAATATTGTGAGTTACAGAGGAAAGGAAGATGAAGCTGATGGTGGTCAATTTATCTTGTATAAATTTGGAGTAATATTGCTTGGTGATCAGCCCTTGTAGCACGATTATCTTGCCTTAATCCACAGTCATATGAGCAATTTCTTCAAAGCTGCCCCCAATAAATATGTAATACTCACAAGGGGGCAAACAAGGTTATTACTTGATGTGCCCAATTTTATTCAACAAAAATGGCAGTGATGTCCTTAATCTTGGCAGGTTCCACATTCAGACCCCTCCTGTAAACGATAATGACATCACAACTGCAATGAAATTAAAATCCATGGACAGAAAATACAATTTTTATTTTAAGATCATATGAAGTAAAATATATTTGTTTGAAAAAAACATGTGCAATTGAGTAAGTACATATTAACAGACTAGAGTCTTCCCATGCCCCATTCCCAATTCCAAAGGATCCATACTGTTTCACCCATCCTCCAGCAAAGTTTCTGCAAAAAGAGGACTATGCTAACTGAGAGGTTAGGGAAAATAGGGAATTTGGATATTACTGCCAACTTGGTGGAAATTTTTTTGTGTGTGACTGCAAGTTTAAGTTAAGATTTGTTTCTCTGTTAAAATTTGAAATATGAAGTGGGTCCTATCTTCCTTTCTTTGTTTTGTATGAAGGTCTTTCATTTCAACATGTGTTCAGTGATGGTAGAGAGGTATTTCTCTCTCTCTCTCTCTCTCTCTCACACTCTCACTCACTCACTCACACTCTCACTCACTCACTCACTCCCCTCTCCTCCCTCCCCTCTCCCTTCCCCCTACTCACCCACAAAAGTGTGTTTCTTTGCTGGAAAAGAAAAAAGATATTGTACACATTTCCTTGTCTTAATATTTCATGACATGGTGCTATACAAATAAATCTGATAAGAAAGAAAAGTCAGGTAAGTATTTGTGACTTATGTTTGAAATTGTATTAATGTTGTTATACACATTTGTAGATGATTATATAATAATTTTAAAGATTGAGATGACAAGCTTGTCTTTGTATGAAGTTTTACACATTAAGGCAAATTGTGAATGCAGTGTTGAAAATGAGTTTTGTAGTACTTTTGAGGAGAAAGTACTTCTATGGAAATGAACTGATAAAATTGTACAAAATTGTAAAGTAAAAGCCGGTTGGTGATTTCACGCCGTACGAAGCCCATTAGATATATTTGAAGATCTGGGTCAATCACAGAAACAGACTTCTGCTTATGTTCTTTACCATGGTGAATCTGTAAATTTCATAGCAGATGTAAAGTGTACACAAGGTAGAATATCAAAACCAGAAATGTGTTGCCTACAAGTATAAGTTTGTGAAAAGAGGATATTTTGGAAGTGATCACCAAGACTCCAGTCAATGATTTGCACTGATTTCAAGCTGGGTAGGGTAGGTATGCAGTAGTGTGACATAAAGGAAAGAAATATGATTGGAGAAAGTAAGTAAGATATAATGTGTAAAGAGAGCACTTAAGTAACATGGAATTTCAAGATTATAACATCTAACTATGAGCTTGTTAAATAGATTATTATTATTATGATTAAAATAGATATTCTTTTATTTGTCTTTCTTTAAATAGCATGTTGATCAGTTTTCTGTTGTTTGAACTCAGATAATTTTTTCTTTTGATAATGCAAAAGATTTAGAATTAAAATTTTAAGATAGATGTCTAAAAAAGGACATCATGTTCTGATTTTTCTAAAGTCTGGTAGTCTCTTGTCTGTAATCCTATATTCTCCTCTTTTATTTTTTTCTTTCTTTCTCTCTGTCTTTTTCCCTTTCTTTTTCATTATCTTCTATCCTGCTCTTGTTTCATTGTCTTTCAACAAACTTAACATTTAGGTGCTATATTGGCATTGCTAATACACTTCTGCTCTCCCCCTCAGGCCAACAGGTCCAGCTTGGCAGCATTAGCTTGGGGTCGCACCTGAATGTACCAATGCAAGTGGGGAATTACGGACGAACCCTCTCTTCCACACAAGGCAACTTCTCCCCAAGCACTCAGGCATCACGCCAGGTATGGGGACAATGTTCTCTGGTTCTTTAACTGGTGGAGATTTGTTTAGGTTGTCGACAAATTTTTGTCTTTTTCCTTTCTCTTTGTTTATATTGTACGGTAAGTGGGCCAGATGAAATGTAAATTAGATGTGTTGAAGACTTTACTAGATTTTGTGTTTATAAGTTGAATACCCTTGTTTTTGTTATTATAGTATTAAGCTTATTATACTTCCAAGTTCAGAATGCAACATTGTTCCCCCATGTTTCAGTCAACTGTTGGCAGCAGCACAGCCATGGGGGGAGGGAACTTCCCCGTTAACAGTGCCCTGATGATTGGTGACTATGTGACCCCAGGATCCATTGTGCTGCCCACACAGGGTATCCAATTGGGTGGCCACTCCTCCCTGAGCAGCAGCGGAGGAGGGGGGGTACGTTCCCCGACCCATTGACCGGGACTGTTGCAGACCTCCTCCCTTCTGGCGCAGGAAGTCGATCCCGAGCAGCTCTCTTCACTGACCCTTGAGGCCGTCCTGCTCGGCCTCCATGCTGCCAGATGAAGGTGGAGAGTTTGCCTGCATGTGTGGCTGCCCTTATGGAGATGACATAGCAGAAGGGGGTGGTGTTCCGCCAACTGTTCCTCGTATGACTACTATGAAAGAAGTGAGGGACTTTGGCAATCTTTGAGAGGAGGAAAATTAGGAAATGAAACAAGAGGTGAGACATTTGAAAGAGAAGAAGAAAAAAAACTCAGTGGCTATTTTTTAATCATGGTTGTCTCCATAAACTTTTTTTTCTATTATCATCATCAATATTATTATTTTAGAGATTCCTTCTTTCTCTGTTATGTAAGAAGGTGTGGATGCTTGGTAAGCTCTTGAAACCTGACAAGATATATATATATGTGCACATAGCTCAGGGTTTTCTTTCCATCTTCCACTTCTCTGTTGTCTCAAATTAACAAGTTGAAAGAGTGTATCGAGAAAATAATTTGCAAATGAAAGTAACTTTTTTATGCTTTTGTCTTTGACCAAGCATTTACCCTGCAGCGTCTTGGAGAAAGAATTTTTGGTATTGTACAGTTACCTGGATTTTTGTATAACATTGAGGAAAATTTGGACCTGGCTCATCACTCGTGTCAAAAAAGCCTGTTGTATTTGTAATGCACTTGTATGGAATATATTAGATGGATTGATTGAGCTGTTTATGCTCTTGTAAGGAAAGATTGTTTAAAACTTTTGGCTTAGACTGTACTCTTTTTTTTATTTCTTATTATTTTCTTGAAAACAAACAACTTTGCATAATTTCATGTGTGATTGTCATTTTTAGAAACTGTTGGTTAAATATCCCAAAATTTCAGGCATCAGATGATACTGATGTTTCATTATATATTTAAGAATGAAAGTATTGGGATTTTTTGGTTTAGAGTGTATAATTGTTCAATGTTTCTCTCATATAAGCTTTTCAAGAATAAAAGCTTGTTAGATGCTGCAGTACAGTACCATGCACAAATGCATATACACATGAACTCTCTCAACACAAACATCTACGTCTATAGCTCTACATAACCATACACACAGATGTAAAAACATATATACTTAGATATACATATATATATTCATATATACCCTCACACACATATGCACGCATATACTCATACACACATACGCCTACACATACATACGTACTCACATACAAAAAATATTAGATGAGAGAGAGAAAGAGAGAGAATGAATATGAATACAAAGACATATGTGTTTGAATTTTGTTTGTTTTCAGTCTTTGTTCACTTGCCTCAGAATTTTTGTCCCAGATTTGACTTTCCAAATTTTCTTGTTCTCATTCTTCCTCTTTTCCTCATCAGGTTTAAACCGTTTACTCTCACGTTTCTTGTCGGTGTGTGTTGTCTGTACTTCTTGTCTATAGGTGGTGCTCTTTGGTGGTGGAAGGAGGATCATGTTGAACCATTCCATGACAGTATAATAATAATTACTGGTTGTTAGGATAGTTAAGGTCAGCCTTGCCCTCCTAAGGGAGATGGCCAGGGCAGCTATATTAACATGATGGCTGGTGGTGTCTGCCATTGCGGCACATTGGTCAGTGGTAACACCTTTTGGGGCCCAAAGGACTGAATGGAAGTATGGCTTTGCATTGTTTTGTAGGTGACATGACCTGGAGCACATGGTGGGCCAATGTTAAGCAATAAATGTTAAGCTTCTCCCTTGAAGCTGCCAAGGTCCTGTGTCTCAGGAGTTTCAATTGTCCAGAATACCATACTGTGTCTCATAGACACTTGGTTTAGATGATGTTCTTATGTAATAAATTCCTATGGAATTGTCATAGCTGTCTTCTTCACAGGTGTTTCATTTATTGAACAAGCTTGTGTGCTTACAGTAAACCATGTTGGTGCGTGAAACTGCAAGAAAGACTTCTCCTAAAGTTACCAGGGGCTCTGCCAGCTTTGCATGCAGGGTCAAGGGATACTCAGGTCAAGCCATGCCATGCTGGAGCAGCAGGAGAAAGGGGGCAGGCAGGAGTGTAGACTTCTTCATTTGAATTTGGTGTGTGTCAAATGCAGTTATTATCTAATTATGGATAGCTGGAAGGTAATGGAAGCCCTCTTGAAGGCAGGGAGTTTTAGAGACACAATCATGTATTGTGAAGAATTTGATGTCTTGTGTATGTGATCTGTTGGTGAGGGTCTTCTAAGATTTACTGATCATATAAAGCAGAGAGATTGCCCTGTAATTGGGCACATAGATGTGGATACATTTCGTAGGCCTAGTGTCTCAGATGTGAAATAGCAAGCAATTAAAAATGACATTTCTGTTATTCCTTTGAATTCTGCAGTTACTCTTCCTAGCAATTTATAGCAATGTCTTGTTACCAGATGTAATGATGGAACTGGTCAGTTGCATATTTTTAAAAAATGAATTTGTATTTTTCAAATGATAGGCTTACCATGTTTATTTTGATACTTAAAAACATCTTAGGTTGTAATTTACAGATTCCCTGAAGGTTTTAAAATGACCATGTACTCTGCTTGTATATGACTAATTATATTCTTCTATATTTTTATTTTAGTTTTATTAATTTGACTTTCTTTATAAGAATTTCACATTTTGGTTATTTTTTACTTTATTTCATTGTAATCAGGGCATTGAAAGTATGTATGTCACAGATCAAATAACCAAGTTAATAAGATAGTTATAAGATAAGATAGCTAGTTCTGTGAGGTTTGCTATGTATGAATGTAAGAAAAGCCTGGATATTCCTTCTATAATGCACAAATCTTAAATACTGACTGTTGTACTTAGGACTTTGAAGGTTTTCCGAGTACAGAAAAAGAAATGTTTACAGTAGATATGGACCTCTTTTGTCTTATTCCCCAAATCAGTTTAGTTTGCAGAAATTTTCTTGATGGCAAAAAAAATTTACAAGACATAAATGCAAAAGAGCACACACATACATAAGCATAAATCCATTCACAGATAAATACTTTTTATATGAAACCTTTATATGAGATATGTTCACTGTACAGAGCCTGACTCAGTTGTAATATTGCAGAATGTTGGCAAGTAGCTGTAAAGGGAAAGAGAAAAGAAAGTCCTTATACTTACTTGCTTAACCTTTTTCTTTCACATTATTTGTTAATATCCAGGCCTTTTTATTTTTCTTATCTGTAGGTGATGTTACAGCAACTTGTGCCCAGTCATTTAATTGAAAAATTATAATCATGTACTTACAGAGACTTACAGGCACTAGGAGCACCAACTAACATTGGAATATGAGTGAGATGTTATCTGATAAGTGCAAAGAAGAAAAAAGAGAATTGGCCGTGAGTTTTGACTGGATAGATTATTTTGAGAATCTCAAGCCGTGCTCATAAACTTTATAATCAGACTTTTACCTCCTCAAAAGAAAGAAAAGAATGATAGTCCCTTAAATTAACTGTTTATCTTTTTGCTTCTTTTTTAAGAGGCTACATAAATATGGCGTTAGTCTAATGTGCTATTCACCATTTTTAAAGGAGTCCTTCTGGCTTGAGTCTGTAGCTAGCCAAGGGGATGCTCTGCTCTTGCATAGTTTTATGCATTTACCCTTCTTTCTTTTCTTTTTCTTTTAGATCAGTTAAAAATGGATTTTTGAATGCCTTTCTATATATATATTTATACTTTTTAGTTGCATGTTCAAAGAGTTGAATTAAACAGTTGAAAGAATGAGGGATAGTGGTTTTATTTATTTTTGTTATAAAAGAGCTCATTTATAGGGTAACAGTATTCCTTTCTTTTTTCTCCCTATTCAGTAGTTGCCTAATGTGACCTAGTACATGACACTTGCCTCCATAGCTGCAGGTATCTTGAAGATAATGTAATTTATAAAACACTTTTCACAAAATCCATCATTCTCAAAAACTAAATATATTTTTTTGAAAAGCATAGCCTATATGATTGTTTTTATAAGGCTAACCTCTATATTTTTTCATAGGTTTAGAAATTGGGAAATGTAGTGTTCTGGTTCCCAGCGTTTTGAATGAAGGGAACTAATATAAAATGTATTAAAACATTTTATATACAATTCTCCTCAAATATTTTTTACTCCCTGGTATGTGATGATATACTGTAGTTACACAAACTGGAAGTCATTTTTTTTTCCAATTTGTTTTTCTTATTTGTACTTCTAATAATACTCTATGATTAATCAGCTTTACACAGTTTGCATTCTTATTATACGTCAATTCGTAGTTTTTTTTTCCCAGCCATGAACAATGGGCTGCATGCAAATTTTTATGTGGCGTGCAAGGAGCTTGTAACTTTTTTTTTATCTGTGTAAAAGATTCATGGTTAGATCTTATTTCTCTTTACATGTATGTGTGGTTATGAAGGATAAGAGAGAACTTTTGTTTTCAAGATTTCTGTGAAAAAGAGAGTGATTGTCATTTTTATTTGCTTATCATTAAGGAAGTGACATTATTTTGTTAACATTTTATTTTTTTGTATTTTTATTCTACAAGTCAGTTGTGATAAATAACTAGGGGTAATTTTTTCTCCTTTTCAAAGATCATCTAATCAGGATTTTATTATATTATTTTGGGGATTTGATAATGAATGATTAAGAAAGTCATTCTGTGTCTTCATATACATAAATAGATATAGTAATTTATTTTTTAAATTTATATGCTTCTTGCTGTCTTCTTATCCCTTTCCTACAAATGGCAGAATACAAATAAAATCTTGCTTGCCTGACAGTTTTCCCTGTGAGTGTTGCCTTTTGTGTGTAGCAGGAATCTCTAGGACTTCCTTCTTATAATCAGGGTTGCTGGCCATTGCTATTTTTAAGACAACTGTGTAACCCATTCTTTTTTCTGAAAGGTTGTTAAAAGTCCTTGTTAAATATATTTAGTGCAGCTAAAAGAACAAGTGAAAAATGAAAGTTTGGGAAGGCACAGAAGTGTTGTATTATATAAAAGATATTCTTCCGTGATCCTTAAATGTATTTGAGTACAAATATCAAACAAAATGTCTCTCCAAGTATGAGCCCAACATCTTTAGGGTTAGTCTGGTGTGTGGGACATTTGGTCTCAGAAAAGTTTATTTCTTACAAAGGTAGTTTTATAACATAGCCGCATAATTTGATTTTAATTTTCCATCTGTGTGTGTGTGTGCGCGCGTGTGTGCGTGGGTGTCTGAAAGATTGGTGTAAATTAGATATACATTTATGAATTTGGTGTAAAAATTGTTTTCCTTTTACTTCCTAGAACAATCTATGAATAAATTTCAAGTGTTGTGTGCAGCACAATCTGCCCTTAACACTGAGGCAGACTACAGATATTTCATACAGACCTTTGTAAGATCAACATACAGATGAAAGCACTTCAAAGAATGGAAGGGAGAGTGGGAGGTAGAGAGATCCAGGGGAAGCACTAAGTGTAACTGAAGTCTTTAGGATTTGGAATGAATAGTTTCTACAGCTTAGCGCATAGTCTCCTGCTAATGGTGTGGCTAGTTAAATTCTTAGATTGCTCCCTTTCTTTTCCTTTTGCTTTTCCTTTCTCTCCTTTCCCTTCCCTTTTGTGGCAAGAATCAAAGTTCGCAGCTGGACTTGGGTGAAGGATTCCTTGGGCGACAATTATGGAAAACTTTTTTAGCCTCCAAATACTGTGTTCTCAGGTGTACAGATTAAACCTTGGCAATTATCAACTTCTCTTTTTCTATTTCTTTCCTTTTAAAAAGAAAGTTTAAATAATTTTTCATAATTGGTATAGTTGTCTCATATGATCAAATGAAAACAAAAGAAAAAGGAAAAGAAGAAAAAAAGCAAGGTATAATCTTCCTCTCCCACATTTTTTGTGTGTTTTCTGATCATTTTTTACCTCTTAATTATTATTATTATTGTTTTGTTTATTTTATTATTATTGTAAGTTTTGAATTTTACACCATTTATAAAGCTTTGTTTTATTTTCATTTTTATATATGTATGCCTTTTACTTTTGAGTATTTCACAAAGCCAGATACCATTGCAGTCGTGTTCTTATGTGCAAAACAGTTCTTTGTTTGGAGGCACATTTCTTTTATGTAATTATCCTTTTGTCTCCCCCCCCCTTTTTATGGAAATATAATTCTTGTAGTATGAAAATATTCTTCATTAGTGAAGGTGCTATGGAGTTCCAGCATTGGTGATCATAAAACTTTGGAGGCCTCTTAGGAACATATGGATATATTCCATGTTTAGTGGTGAGGGTCATGGATCCTTGCGCTAAAGGTTAGGTGTAAGCATTTGTAGCCTTAGCAGTGATATTGGAGGTGCGTGTGAATAAAGCATCTGCTAGACAAGTGTTTTCAGTATCCTTAATGTCCAGTCATACCTTGAGATTGATGTACGTAAACATTTCATTATAACACGTGTTGAAAAGATGTGAATGAAAATATTAACTCTACAGTGCAGGAAATGTAATGTAATCTGAATTTCTCACATTTTGTTAAAGATCTTGTATTGAAATGTGTGTTAGCATTTGTTTACTCTTTTGTTCATACCTGCACATGTGATGAACTGTAAAATATTCCATTAACAAAGAATTAATCTCCCTTTTTTATGCTTGATGCAAAGTTTTAGTTGTAATCCTTAATCCTTTATCTATAATATTTATTTAAAGTCTTTTTTTTAACGACTGTTAGTCTCATCAAATGAGAAATTTTATCTGAATGGGAATTCCTGCTATCCATTGTTTACAATTTGCAACATAAATTGAGAATGGCAGTGAAAGAAAAAGGTACAACCATGATCAGATGTGTAGTTAGTAGTGAAATACCGGTTAGCTCATGTAGTCCGGAACAGAGCAAAGCAGAATCTAAGGGCTTTAAAATTGTATACAGCTGAACTGCAGACCTTACGAATTCTGGTATGGTTTCATCCTTTTTCCCCACTGATACATTTGATGAAATTCTTGCAGGGCCTGAAACCAAGGGAAGCTTTCATATTGAAGTAAATGTTGCTGAAAAATAAGGTCTTTTTTTTCTTTTCTTTTCTTACTACAGGAAATCACAAAAATGAATCTACTATATACCCAGTGCATTCCAAATAGATCATGTTTAGGTGGAACTGAAAACTTTACATAGCTAAGATGAAGCAACTAGAAAAATTTAATTAGCTCAAAAGACATAACTATTTGAAGATGCAGTCACCTAATCCCAATTTCTGTTAACACTAAAGAAATGAATGAAAGGAACAACTGCCAGTTCTTTCTTAGATCAAACGTGCAGCTGAATACAAGCAGAATGCTGTGCCATCAGAATTTTTGTTTCTTAACATTTTAATAAGTTGTAATAGTAATGAAACTAAATTAGGGGATTTTATAAATGTATGAAAGACACTTGAGTACTAGATAACAATCCTTTTATTCAAATTCTTAAAATTTTCAGTATTCAAACTCAGTACAAAATAACACTTGATCAAGAATTCAAAATAATTAGCAGCACAGAACAGTGCCCCATGAAGAAACATACTATACCTGGACGTGAATCTAGAAAAATTTGCTAATACCCTCTCTCAGCATTCCTCTCTTGCCACATAAGGGTTCTTTACCTGAACTTAACCCATCACCCACAGGTACATGTATTGTCCACAGTAGATTTTTGTAAATTTTATTGTGCACAGATGGCTCCACAAGGACTCAATTAGTAGGCTCTTGTGAGCAAGCCTCATTCTTTTTCTCATGCTTTTTAATATCGTTGCTCTTATTGTTATTCTTGTCATAATTATTATAATGTGCTTTAAATAATAATAAAAATGGAAAGGGTAAACACGTGAGATATGATTATCAACAGACTCCTTGGTGACTAAGCACTTGTGGAACAGTCTGTGTGTAAATACAAAAAATAAGCTAAAATTACAGTGAACATGGCATGCATGTCATGCCATCCACAGTTAGTATGTCAACTTTGAGATATTGTTATTTACTTTCCACCTGAATGTTTGCCATTTATTCCCTCAACCAGTGGGAGCAATCTGCTGAATGGCTGTGCTGTGAAGGACAGAATTGGGGAAAATGATCTCTTTAGTGTTGCAGAGTCCCATCCATATCCTTTTCACCAGGAATGCAAGGCACCTCTTTGAGTAAGGTGACAAACCTCTTTTGGTGGTTTTGTGGGTCTGAATACTTGGTGTACATTCTAGTCTGAACACCCATTAGTCTCAGCCCTTGTTCATTGTTAGTGGCTCCCTGACAACAAATTTAACTATTCATTTAATCATCCTTGAATCTCCCACATAGTGCATACATTGGTCTTGCCTTCTTCAGCATACTGTTAATCAGCTTTGGTCCACCATTAATTACTTAAAATTCGCCCTACAATGATGGGGCCAGATTTATATGTGAAGTAATGAATGGAAAAACACTAACATGTTGATACTATGGTAGAAAAATCCACAATGCACAAACTAGATTATTGAGGAAAGTGAGACAACAGTTTCGGACACCATCTAGCCTTTCTAGCTGGGCATTCACTGTTTACTCACTAAAGTGAGTCATGAAATGTATACACATTTCCCCATCATGAAGGATAGACTATATTCATGCCTGTGAATAAAGGGTTAATAATGCATTTTACTGAAAATAGCAGGTTCTTCTGTCTGGGGGAATGTCTTACTTATATTCTCTTCCCTTCTATTACTTGGCATGGGTGTTTTTCATTGAGGTCCTCATACAATGTGGCCCACTGAATAATATCCCTTCCTATGCTTGTACAATTCACAGGTCCCTAAAGGCTTGAATGACAGAAACATTCATGCAGACCATGCATTTCACAAAAGCAATCTTTGATTTCAAAGGTCAAAGCACTGCCTAATGGTAACTTTACTGGCTCCTGATATCTGTTATTAATTAATCTAGGTACTCTTGCATTGTATGTACCCTGAATAGCTTCCATAGCTAGATGTCCAAAGGTAATAATAAGCACTTGTAGCTTTGGTAACTGGACTACCTGTTTAGGAAAAAAAAAATTCTATGAACAGTTAACCAAATTATCACTAAAGAATTGTATATCCAAATAAACTGAATTTTAGAGAGACTGTCATGATAATTTACCCACTGGTACCACATAATTGCATTGTCCTCTAAAATTTTACACATAACTCCACCAGGACTTTGTCACCAAGGAGTCAATTAAGTAGGCCTACCTGAGCTCACCTGATATCCATATTTCTTGATTTATGGAAAAGTTTTAGTTCTTTTGATGCTATCAATACCTTTATCATCATCGTTATTGACATTGTTATTATTACGCTACAGTCACCATTAATAGCAATAAAAAAATGATAAAAACATAAAATAAAAATCTCTGAAAATCACAGAAAAGGATAAACAGGTTAATTCAGTTAGAATTAGTACATAATAGATCCTTTAGTGACCAAGCTCATGGAGCCAGCAATGGGTATGCAAAATTAATAAACTAAAATCACAGTGGACATCACATCCTGCCAACAATGGTTTAAAGTGCAAAATACTAGATTACCTTTGTCATTGTATACCTAAGGAAGATCATCTTGGACAAGTGCAATAAAGGTCTTTGTGCACACTTTATTCAGCTCTTGCTGAAAGAATAAATCCTCTTCTGGCAATTTGCAGCAAGGCTGTTTGGCCTGCTGCAATTCTTTTTGTGCTGCTTGAGATTTTCAAGATGCAGTAGAACACGAGCTGAAATGGTGAATGCGGGAGCTAATAAGTATTATAGTAATATTTATTTCATGAATCATGCAAAAGAGGGTAACTAAATAAATGTTCTGGTTTCATATAAACTGCAAAGTTATTCAAGTAGAATAACTGATAGAAAATCTGTCCAAATTTTGTTCAAGGTAAAATAGTATCAGTCTACATTATTCTCTGTTACATAAAGCACATTCTAGTTCAATATATGTAACCCATTTATTTGGTCGCATTACAAAGTATCAATGAAACTTATCCCATAAACATAATATATGTACCAAAGCACCAAAGAGAAGATATTATGTTAATGTAGAATAAATCTGTTTGAAGAAAAGAAGGTAAAGGAATTATTACATCTGCTTGTCTATGTCTCTACAAATCTTACCTTTCTGGGCATTGCAGTTTTACATGAACTCCAGATATGAAGGTCTGAAGACTGGAGTTATCTCTGAGCCTGTTTTTACTCATGTACCTCCTTAATCTTGTTTCTTTACAAATAAAATTCTCCACCCCAAAAAAATCAGTTCTCATGTGGAGAATATTGTCCAAAAGAAATATAATGTATGTGCACTAATTTCAAAAATATATTTCAGACTGTTTACTTGGCTTTATTCCCTGTTACACTTTGAAAAAACATTTCTATTCACTAATGGATAATGGTAGAAAATGTATGTATGTATTCATATATTAAAAATATTCTGTATATGAGGATGGGAATTCACGAGGTTTCATGTCCGCTAAGTTTCTGTCTCATCTTCCAAAGTACTTGAAACAAAATTTATATTTCTTGATAAAATTTTTGATCTGTCCTTCCTTGATGAGACATCGTTTAAAGCACTCTTACTGTCTTTTGATTTCTTCTTTTCCGTACCTCTGTTGCTCGATGAGATTTCCAAGCCATTTTCACTCCATATCATCAACTTTTCATTTTTACCTTTCTCTCTTGGTTCTCTACTGCCTTCTTCATGTTGTGAGGGTTTTCTACCTGTGTTTGTAAGTGAAGCTTTTGTCTTGGTGCTTGCATGTATGTACAGTCTTTTATATGTATTTCTCTCCTTTTCTTCTTGCTCCCTCTTTCTCTTTCCTCGCTCACTCTGATTTTTTTCTTTCCTTTCCTGAGCTTTGTTGGCTGCCAGTGCCCCTGTAAGGAAAGGAAAGGAAATTATCACAATCCCTGTTCCTGCTATTGTCACATACTTCTTAATTATCACTGTTATCCTCATCATCTATGATTTAATACCATGTGGGAGAAGTTAATGCCTACTACAAATAATATAACTTATTCTACCAAACTACCATATTGATTTCACTTTCTACAGTATATAGTCATCATCATTACTATTATTAATCATGAAAATACTTTCATCTGCTGAGATAAGACCAACCTAAAATTGTGTTATGAAGGAAAGTTTTATTTGTTGAAGGAAGTCTGTTTTTCAACCATCCCGATGGCCCACAGGTTTCAGCCCTTTGTGCTCCTCTCTTCGCTTCTCGCAGCAAGGCCTCCTCTGCCAGCCTGTTGGGAAGAAAGCAAAAGCTATAACTTTAACTATACCTTTAATTTACATGACCATGAAATTTCTAAATATAGAGCTAATAATAAGAAAATATTTTATCTTCTATATAACACTGCATATAGGAAAATTAGAAGTAATTCTAACTTGGCAAATTACAAATATGATATTACTATTGTTCATGTTCATTTTTCAGGGTGATCCTAGTCTTGTGCCATTTAATCCAGTTTAGCTAAGCCTAGCTTGGTCTTGCCTAACCCAGCCCTCCCCTGCCCTGAAACAAAATTAAGGAATAACTGCTAGGAAGAATGCTATATACATTTAAAAAAATGATAATAAAGAAATAGCAGGCAAACATATGTTTTTTCTCAGTAATGCTAAATTACTGACATATGATCATATCTATCCACTGAATTTAGGGCATATACCTTCTTGAATATTGTATTTTCTACTTTATTTTTATTTCTACAGAGGCTGCAAAAAAGTTACAGCAAAATTTGGCTATGGGCTTGGGTGACTCGAATTTGCTGCCGTTAGCATTTTAGCTGAAGACCATGGTGATAGGAAAGACCCATTTAATATGCACAAACTTCTTGAAGAGTGATCAGATTTATTTGGCATTTTGAAAGGGGGTTTTGCATTATTTCCATCAATAAACAAGTGTGGAATGTAAAGTCTGTTAGCCGTGACTGGACCAGGGATGACCATGAACATGACCAGCTCCAGGGAGGCCACTATTTCCATGTTCTGGAACCTATTCCTGCCTGCCATGACTGGTGTATTACAGAAAATTGACTATTATGAAAAAAATGAAAAACTGACACATAAAACAAAATGTTACTTATTGTTATCATTATTGCACTGAGTTATAGACTTCCTAAGAGAGATAATATGGAGTCAGTGCAAGGAAAACAGTCTATCACCATCTGGATAAAGTAAATCAAATGACAAATATAGACATTTGAAAATGAAAAAAAAAAAACTTTGCAAAGGGGAGGCATGGAACTTTTCACTAGACACGAGTGTTTGTTTGATCCTGGCCTACAAGCCGCACATCTGGAAGAGTGTCCACTCACTAAAGCCTAATGCCCACATTTTAGGCGACATGATGGAAGTGAAGCATCTGGATCAAACAGGTTAAAGAATACAAGAGACAACAATAATGACAATATTAAGCAATCTTCAGAAGATGAAGGTAAGCCCACAATCATTATCAAAGCTACACCCACTGTGCATCTATCATTCCCCACATTTACCATGACCTATTTTCTTTATTACTGGCATTATAATTTACCTTACCAGATTATTTCATATATCAATGAATGTAGATTTTCCATTTATTCATGATAGTGTCATTAGATTTTCCTGTAAATGCATACCAAAGTATTTGGTAATTTTACTGAATACCTTCACATAACCGATCATGACAATTTTGATATTGGTGGATTCCTCTCACCCTATAGTACCTACACATGTAACTAGGGAACCCCCAAACCCCCACATTCTTGGTCCTGATAGCTGGGAGTTTTACCCTCTATCTCCCGTCTAGGAAGACAAAGAATCTTCCATGCATTCCAGGCAGGACCCTGGTACCTTCCATGCCCTCCCCTACTATCAGGGCCAAGATTGTCACTAGTACGGGGGTATCTAAAGCATAATATTGATATACTTCTATAATAGAATACGAGAGGAATCCATTGATACCAAAATAACCTCATTATCAATTTTAAAAATATCCCCATTGACTCACTTAGATAACTCGTCGTCTGTCGGCATCGTTCCTCTCCCGTGTTGATTTAAATTGTGAATAAAAAATACAGAAATATTGTCAACCGTGTGAGTAAAACTGCAACCAGCTCTTCTTTCTCCTTTTATAGGATTTTAGACTTTTGTGTAGTCTATATCCCCTGCGCCCAGCTCTCTCTCCTCTCTCGGTTTGTTTACATCGATAAATAGCGAAAACCGCTAATGCTGAGCATATTTTCGCTATGCTAGCGAGTTCGTCTAGCAATGACTGCTACGGAGCGAATGGATATTGAGGCAGGCATTGTCCACGTGGGCTTACTAGCTGAGATTTTGGGAAACAATACACGACAGAGGAGCAGAATATATCAATTAAGTCATTAACATTAAAACAATTTGTATATCAGACCTCATGGAAAAACATTAACGAACACTCAGGTAATGAATAATTGTCTCATTGTATAGTGGTTATTTATTCTGGGATCCAAGTTTCACTCTTGCGTCTAAATCCATATGATTGGTAAAATCAGAAAATACATGGATATTTGAAGATAAATCGTTGAATGACTACATTATTCGAGGTATACTGAGCATACAGATAGTCAACCCAGATTCAAGTAACGAACAGATAAAAAAATATCGTATAAAGCAATTATATCAATAAGAAAATTGCAACACTTGAGAATCACTCAGCCAGTTTAAATGGCTGGGTTGGTTGTCCTTGTAAAAGCAAACTTTTACTTAGTACATTCTTGCCGTGCCATTTACTAGTTTCATTGATGTCGTCCACATGTCCTTCGATCCAAGGTCCATAAAAGTACTTATTTAGACCTTGCTTCGACCAGTGTCTTGAGTGAGAGATTACAACGAATACTCAAAAGAACTCAAATCTACGACAGCATATTGTATACTCGGAGCATATATGAAACAATGCCTTATATTTACTACACTGCAGAAGTAATGAATAGGACTGTCCTCTCTAGTGTAAATTATTTAAGACTGATAAAGCATGACACTTCAACTACCTTCACATGAAATAGGATAAGGTACCGAATTTTTTTACACTATCAGGGTCAGATGTAGAATCATCCTTTTGTCCAAACAATATCTGTACCTTGGCAACCCAGGGGAGAAATACTTTTCCTATGGAACTTCATAATAATTTATTGTACCAACTGTTCACCAGTGCGCTTGCTGCCAATGTATGCCACGACTGTCAGGTTAGGAAGTATACGTAAGGGAAAGGGTTCCTAACCTTGGGGCCATGGCAAGTGGGCCACGGGCTACTTTCTGGAACAATATGAAAATTATGAATTCAACCGAATCTTATTGAATTTGAAGTGTTCTTGTCCTATAGATATTGACACGCTTACACTATCCACACACTTACACTATCCACAAGTAATAGTTGAATTTGAAAAGATAACAGACGCAGAACAGGTCCATGGAGACTATTACATATTGGTCGGGAGTCACGGGAAGAGGCGAAGACAGCCAGATTTACATATAAACTAAATATGAAGTTATACTTTAGGGCCTCAAATTTCAAAGGACCCCATACTTTGACGATCTTTTGAAAATCACTGTGTATTGCATTTATGCGTTATTAATCTGAGCAGTTAAATTAAAGATCTTCACATTTCTAAGTTCTATTGGATCTTTTTCATTTTACAAGGGACACCCAAGTCCATATCCGGACTAGGTTGGAGGTAAGAGACAGAGGTATTCTTATTTAGTAATGAGGGGGAGGGGCTATCAGCACAATCATTCTACGATGGGCGAGTTAAGCTTATAAGTACCTGCCTTTCCTTAAAACGGAGCACAAAATTTGTACTCAGCGCCAAGCTACACATACTTCAGCTCCTTAAATTAGATGGAAACCGGTAGTTTTTTAACCTTGGAGTGTATGCGATGGACAAGGAGGGTAAGTGGATGGGCTGATGGATAGAAGGCTGGATGGATAGTTAAGAAGTTAAAGAAAAGTGGTTTGTTTTTTCTAAGAATAATAAAATTACAGCAATCAGTAATTGTGTGATCCATTTAGCCGCCATTACTGACGTTCCCAGGGTGTACCACGAGGAGGCGGATCACATCTACACCCCTTTTATGTCCCTCCATTTATTTTAATTATTTATATAATTCTTATTTACTATTATTTTTTAAGGAACTGGGGATCTTTATTTCAATATTCGGCATCATCGGTTTCATCGCTACTGGAGTCCGAATCAGTCACCTCATTAGAAAATGTCTCGTACATGTGTTCAAAGGCATGGTCTTTTTTGCTGTATTCGTCTTGAAGCTCCTGCGTTTGTTGTACGTATTTCTTCCAGTCTTCAGGAGTTACATGAGTAATGGCCTGCAATATAAGGAGTCCAAGTTTGTTGAAATATTGCCACTTCTCCGAATCCTTCTTGACTTCGTCTTTGATCTGAACCCAAACCGATTCAATGGGATTAAACTCGCTATGATACTGGGGGATTCGGAGAACCTTGTGTCCAGCAGCAGCAGCGAGTTCGTCAGCCACATAGCGATGCTTATCTTCCTTGTGCAGCTTTACCAGCTGGAAAAGTTCAGCTTTGGTGTGAGACGAATCGTGGGGAATGGAGTTATCAGTTAGCCACTTAACGATTTCCTCTTTTCCCGATTTGACTGAAGGGGTTTTATTGTGCTCCATGTTGTGATACGGAGCGTTGTCCATAATGATGAGTGATCTGGGTGGGATGTTCGGCAGCAGCTGCCACTGAAACCATCTCTTGAATGCTTGACTGTCCATCGTATCGCTGTAATCCCCCCTCCTTCCCATCTTGGATTTGAACACGAACATAGCACCCTTTACAAAGCCTTCAGAACTCCCTGCGTGGATAATTATGTACGTCCCACCCCTCAAGCATCTCGTGCGAGCTCCCACTATTCCTTCCTTGTTGGTCCAGTCCTGGTCAGCGTTCATATTCTGATTAATCCAGGTCTCATCAAGGTAAATTTCTGGCCTGGGGCTTTCGCTGCTTCGGTTGGTCCTCAGCTCCCTTATGAATTTGCTTCTGGCAGCTACGACGGTTGGCCGTTCCACCAGCATAGCACAGTTCTTGTAAAATTTCTTATACCTAAACCCCATGTGTTGCATCAATCGCCACAGACTCGATCTACTTCCTTTGAAGTTCAGGGGCGGTTCCTTCACCGTTTCCATAAGCGAAGTGAGCGTTGGCATGTCTCCCCTTTCATATATGGCAAGGATTGCCCTTCGCAAAGCATCCTTGTCCACGTCGCCGATCGTCGTGCGTTTGGGAGCACGTCTCTGGGGGCAAGACCGGGGCTGGATTCTGCCACGGAGTCTCCTCTTGGCTTGAGCTCTTAACTTCAGAATCACCGTCTCCGAAACCTGCGTTGCCTCGGAGGTTTTCTTAGCCGCATCTTGGACGGACTCACATGCATCCTTATTAAAATACTCAAATACGTTCAAGACAAGTTCCTTGGATTGGCCGACGAGCGCAGAAGCACCAAGACGCTTGACCGGGTGTGTGGAGGACGCCATTGCTTCAGCAGACCGACTGCGTTCGACAGGGGAGGAGGTGGGCGGGGCTTGCATCTGGCGCCAATTTCGAAATGTTTATTAATGACGATCTTTCGAAATTTGCTTTGGTTGAAGTTATTAAAGTGATGTAATTACCTAAGGCTCTGAAAATGTTTACACAACTTTTGAAGTTATAATGGTAAAGACGTCTCAACCATGTACCAAAGTGTGACCGCGAACCTAAAGTGCTGCAAGTTTTGGCGCCTGAACGCTCCCTGAGTGTTTCTGACTTGTCAAATGCGGGTTCTTTGCATTTTATTCGAATATTCTGTTGCTCTCTTGTTTTTGATGGATTTTATTGCATATAATTATGTATAATAAACTCGACTATCCTTTTATATTGCATTATTTATTTATATATAAAAGAAATTATTCATAAGTGACATAAGAAATAAAATTATGTACATATCTGGCAACTATGCGCTTCTCACACCTTGCCCATCGATCTTATGTCTGTTAATTTTTGTTAATCTTGAATTATATAATCGCATATTGTGTGACTGTCAATAGAATCCTACCAGAACAATACATAGAATATATGATATAAGGGAAAATTACTATAACAAGTAGTTGTCTCAAATTTATCTAAAGACTTGTTATTATTACTATTATCAGTATCAATATTACTTTACTGTTGTTATCGTTGTTGTTATTATTATTGTTATTATTATTATTATTATTATTATTATTATTATTATTATTATTATCTTATTATTATTATTATTACTATCATCATTACTGTTGTTATTATTATTATTATCATTATCATTATTAGTATTACCATTACAATTATTAGTATTATTAGTATCATTATTGTTATTATCATTAATATTATTGTTATCATATAGTTTGTTGTGTTGTTATTATTAGTACTATTAGTAGTATTAGTAGTAGTATTAGTAGTATTGCTATCATTATTCTTATTATCAATACTATTATTGTTATTAGTATTTTGGTGTTATTACTATTATTATTATTATTATTATTATTATTATTATCACTACTACTACTATTATTATTATTGCTGTTGCTTGTATCATCATCATCGTTATTTGTAATGTTGTTATTATTACTATCATCATCATCATCATTAATATCATTATCACAGCTACATTGCCATCGTTATGTTTCATACATGACAATATATCTACCATGGAACCATAGCCGTTTTAAACATTACCACGATTTAAACCCTAAGCATTATAAAAGAATTGATAAAAAATATATTTTTTCATCCTCACCTGAAAACTCGTAGAGCCTTATATTCCCACAGACTATACACGATTTCCACCCTTAGAAGCCACCTAGACACACTGCCACCACGAGACAGATGTACTTGAACGGAAAATGCCCGAGACAGCATTCACAACGAGGGCTTTCTTATCTCCTCCCAAAGGAATAAAGGGAAGCGAAAGCACAAAGATAACATTCATTTTTGGAGATAAATTAACGGCAGTCTTCGGTTTAATGAAGAGGGCAATGTGCACACACCACACCACGCACACACGCACACACACACACACACACACACACACACACACACACACACACGCGCGCGCGCGCGCGCGCGCGGATGTTGATGGGTTTACTCTCGTGGAAAAAAGAAAAAAAGAAGAAGAAAAAAAAGACAAAATAGAACAAAGATCTACCGCTAAACCACAGGTGTTGTACCTTTACATAACAAACTGCCACACAGACACTGAGGAAGCAGATATCGAGAATCACCTACTCGTTAACTTCCCTGAGGTGGACGATGTAAATGCATTCAAAACAAAAATGAGTCATTCATACCAGCTTCACTGTTTCTCTTAAAGGCAAAGCACTTGTAGCTGATGAATTTCTGAAGCCAGATTCCTTCCCCAGCCCCGTGAGAGTCTTTTTAAGTAGAAACAATTACGAAACCTCGCAACCCGTGTTGACGGATCATTTTGACCAAAATGATCCGTCAACAATAGCGCCAGCTAACGCAAGACCCCGCAGAACGCTTCCCAGCATTTACCTTGCAAATGCATGCTCACTTACAAACAAAGTGGACGAACTTGACGTCATAATTAAATAAAATATTATCGATATTGCAGTAATCACATAACGTGCTTCAAAGACGATACATTAAACATCGGAGCCATACAGGGGTACCACTTATTTAACAAAATTCGTCAGGGCAGAAAAGGTGGTGGCGTTGGTATCTACATCAAAGATACTATCCCCTACAACACTATAAAATCCATCTGTCCACCAAGTGACGAACTTGAAACATTATGGCTCGTTGTTAGACCTACATGGCTGCCTCGCCATATAGGTGACCATGGGTCACCAACAGGATCGAAAACCTTATCAACAAGCTACTCCCACCACTACAATCAGCAGAACTGCCAACTTACTTACCCTCGCGCCCTCTGCAAGCAATTGTCAGCGAATACGACGTGTACCAACACTTTAGAAGGGTAGCAAAAAGCAAATCTCCTAGCCCTGATGACATCCCGCCGAGGTTACTACGTGAATTCGCTCCCGAGCTCGCCACCCCCCTCTGCGACTTCTTTAACTGCTCCATCACTGAGGGCGTGGTGCCTGACCTATGGAAGCGTGTTATCACAGTCCCAATTCCCAAAACAAATCCACTTAATTCTCTCGATGACCTTAGGCCTATATCATTAACACCTATTCCTTGCAAAATACTCGAGAGAATAATTGCTAAAGAATTGTGGAAAGTATTCGCCCCCAAATTAGATCATCGCCAATTTGAAAATACCAAGGGTAGCTCCACAGTCCACTACCTAGTTGACCTGATCAATTATATCACTTCAAATGTAGACAAAAGACTCGAGGTCACTACCGTCACCATCGACCTGAGGAAAGCATTTGATCTCATCGACCACACCACATTAATTAAGAAAATGATTTCTCTGGGTTTCCACGAGGGCTGGGTGAAGTGGATATCTTCCATCACCAACCTTCGCTCCCAGAGGACTCGTGCAAACAACCAAATATCCGATGAAATTGATCTTCACGGCGGTATCCCTCAAGGAACGGTCCTCGGCCCATTATTGTTTCTGATAATGGTAAATGAGGACAAAATTCCGCACGTGATCTACAAATATGTGGACGACATGACACTTGAACTAGCACACCAACCAGGGCAAGGAAACACCTTATTACAAGACGCCCTTAAACAAGTGTTAGAGTGGGCTTCATCTAACAAAATGTCTGTCAACACCAGGAAATGCACAGAAACAAAATCTAAATTTAACAGATTTGCCGACAGAGGTAGTACTCTAAAAATAGGCGAGGAACTCTTAACTCGGGCCAAAGAGGTGAATCTATTGGGAACAGTTATCAGTGACGATTTAAAGTGGTTCGCCAACACCCAGAAACTGATTTCAAAGTGTGGAAGAAAGTTCTTTATGCTAACCAAATTAAAATCTTTCGGTGCATCCCAAGAAGACCTCCTCCGCATATGGACGACTTTCCTTCGACCAGTCTGTGAATATGCAGCACCAGTCTTCGTGAGGATATTAACAATAAATTATGTGAACCAAAGTGTCATACATCCAGATATTATATGTCTACTATTCCCTATTGTATTAGACACAAATGATAACTTTGTAAAGTAACAATTTTACACTTGTAACTAAAACTTTACTTAATAAACTCTTCATTATTATTATCATTTATTATTACACACACACACACACACACACACACATAGATATAGATACAAATAGATAGCAAGAGAGAGAGAGAGAGAGAGAGAGAGAGAGAGAGAGAGAGAGAGAGAGAGAGAGAGAGAGAGAGAGAGAGAGAGAGAGAGAGAGAGAGGGAGAGAGAAAAAGAGAGAAAGACAGAGATACAGACAGATAGACAGACAGACAGACACATATAGAGACAAAGACAGTGAGAGAGAGAGAGAGAGAGAGAGAGAGAGAGAGAGAGAGAGAGAGAGAGAGAGAGAAGAGAGAGAGAGAGAGAGAGAGAGAGAGAGAGAGAGAGAGAGAGAGACAGAGACAGAGAGAGACAGACAGACAGAGAGAGAGAGAGAGAGAGAGAGAGAGACAGACAGACAGAGACAAAGACAGTGAGACAGAGAATGAGTGTGTGTGTGTGGGTGTGTGTGTGAGAGAGAAAGAGAGAGAGAGAGAGAGAGAGAGAGAGAGAGAGAGAGAGAGAAGAGAGAGAGAGAGAGAGAGAGAGAGAGAGAGAGAGAGAGAGAGAGAGAGAGAGAGACAGACAGACAGACAGACAGACAGACAGACAGACAGACAGACAGACAGACAGACAGAGACAGACAGACAGAGACAAAGACAGAGAGAGAGAGAGAGAGAGAGAGAGAGAGAGAGAGAGAGAGAGAGAGAGAGAGAGAGAGAGAGAGAGAGAGAGAGAGAGAGAGAGAGAGAGAGAGAGAGAGAGAGAGAGAATCCACTGTTCAAAGCAACACAGACCCTTGTTACTATGCCACGACAAGCATGGACATTTTGATACCGGTAAAATGTTCTTTATCTGTTTGGCGTTGGGCACGGTGTGACGCATTCAAAAATTTATATTCTACAAATCACACAAATCAAAACACTGTGTACGGTCATTCACTTCTTAGATATTGTTATTCCATTTGTATTTCATATATTCAAAAAGTATAGTCGACAAAACCGGGTGAATTTTATTACATGTGCAAGGCAAACGGCGAAACTCTCAGACTCGAACTAAAGTCAAGTATTTTAATTGCTAAGATATCTGTCTTATCTGTTTGATATCCCTAAAACCGTAAATGCTATTTTAACAAAACAATCTTACTAAGCAAGATTCAATCGCAAATGCAAGACGTTGAGACTCGAATGTTCTTAAGAATCAAGTGGTTTGTTTACAGTCACAAACGGGACGTCGAGGAAGGTGCATGCTACTAACGGCTCCGCTAACCATTCTCTCTTTATCATCTCTTCCTTTAAAGACATTCTTTTAGGATAAAGTAAGTTGGTAAACCATGATATTCCGGTTTCATTGGTGTAGTTTTTATGTGTTGTTATAATCCAATTATGTGTTTTTTCAGGATTTATTTGACTTATTTCGACACCATGCGTGAAGATCGTGGTGTGATGCCCCGAGTTATTAATGTTAATGTGCATGGTTGTGTTTTCTAATGTTTTAAAGTCTGATCAATGGCAGCAGTTGATGTATATTGATATTGTCAGTCACACAACGGAAGGGTTTGATTGAACACACCCAGAATTAAGTGGCGGTGATCAGTTTCTGTCGTGTCCAATTGTGTTAGATTATCTCAAGGTCATTTGGCAGGAAAGGGTTATTTGTTAGTGCTTGTTTGTCAGCCGACCCAAAAGTCGCCATGTGGAAGATTATATCTGTTGACGTTGTCTGTTGTAAACGATATTGTTTAGTTTTCGAAAACGGGTGACAGAATTCCAAGTTTTCTCTCTGAGGAAATTTAAGTTTTACATACAATTGGGCATGTTGTCTGTTTTACTTCTTCGGTTTTCAGCTGATGGTGATTCAGGAAATTAGAGATGCTTATTTCTTCCAGATTTACTGAGGAAATATGGCTGGTCACTCTGTTCCTGTGGACTTCAGGGTCAATCCTGCAAAGATCTCCAACCCTGGTAAGAAAGTTGAATTGTAGGTTTTGTATTTATCTGTTATCTGTTATTTACTTTTTACCAAAAGGCAATATTTTTTACACAAACATTTTTTAACTATTAGCCAAATGCATGCCCTTATCCTAGCCTTGTTTTTCAGTTGAGAGAAAAACACTTCTCCAGGATATGCTGCCACTAATTGAGCCCTTCACTGGCTCACTCACAGAGGTAAGCACTATGGAATAGATCTATTGTTAGAATAGTGATTGGATTTTTTAAAAATGTGCTTTCATGAATGTCTATATGCACATATGTATGAGTACATTTTCCTATGTATTCTAAAGAATTGGCAATATATTAATTAAAGCATTAAGATATGATCTTCATACAATAAGTGTGTAGGTCCTTCTTTCTTTCAAAGCATTATAGGTATTTTTCGATGGCCTATTATTCATAAGACTGGAGACAAAATTTGCAAAATTAAGTAGAAACCTTCCTCACTTTACAAAGCTACCAAACCAGTGCTCCTGCTTAAGGTGAGAAGTCACCTAAAACCAGTCTGGTGTCTACTGGACTGACATAGTCTGGCTGTGGGAAATTCCAGTTCACCACAGTAAGAACATGTACTTATCATTTTACTCAGAAGGTTAATGATGTACACTACATTCTTCCAGATATCTGTGTGTGAGGTGCCTGGTGGAAATTTTGTTGCTCTATATGCCTCCGACACCATGACACTCTCGGTCAAGCTTTACTCCAATGGTCTCGTCACGGCAACTGTTGAATATTACACTGACCAGGTCAACGAGCACAAGATTGCTAATGATGTAAGTTTGCTGTTGCAGTGTTTTAATTTGAGTTTATCACATGCCATGGGAGTAGGTTTATAGATAGGATGCAATGGAGGGGATTTTTTTGCAGCTAGTTATTCTAGAATTGAACAGTGTTTCTATAACAATTTAGTAAGTTATGTTAGGTTTGAGAGTGACTTGTGTAATATATTCCACTTATGAAATTAGACTTGTTGAATACTGAATAAAGGTCTTGTAAAAGAGAAGTAGAGCTTTAAGACTAATAAATCATATTAGACTTATTTGAAGAGATGCCAAAGTCAGTATACTGAAGTCAAAATAACATAAAGCATGTCTGTACTTTAGAAATGTCTTTTGATTGTTGTAGTCAGTTTCAGTGTAAGATGTAGTAAGTTGTGGGTATGTTATAATGGTTTTCAGGTTTTCTCTTTACTTAGACTGATAGCTTTATTACTGGGGTGATGATAACAAGTGTTGTGGTTATTAATGCAATATCTCTATTACTACCACCGGTCATCCAACAGACTGTAAGTGCCAGACCAAATGCATGGATTTTTGCTTGACTTTTAGATTTAATTTCATTAGCAATCAGATCATTTTGCCTTTTGCATTTCACATAAAATTTTTGTGTTGATTTAATCTGCACCAGTAAATCGTGAGTTATCACATGCATATTGTTAAGCATTTTTTCCCAGAGATGGTGTCACTTAATACAGGTAAATTTTAATAGTATGTTATCCCTTTCTTTTTTCTTTTTTTGTTGTAGTACCTCAATTTTTTTTCTTTTTTCAATAAAGTATGAATTAAAATTTTTATATAATGAAATATGTGTTTGAAATGATATAGATGTTAGAACTGCATTTTAAAATACATTTTACTGTAAAATGGAAGTTAGAGTTCTTGTTAAAAAACATCTTTTATCACTGATATTGTTCAGAAAATTATTCAGTACCTTTTTGGAATTTCTTAAAGCACCATATAATATTTACGAAGAATTTTAAAAAGATAAGATAAGATATGATATAAAAATGAGGAAGCAAAATTTTCTTGTATATGTATTTTTTCCTTTTTAAAATTTTCTTTTTATATAAAGAATATGAAATGACATCACACTATTCACTACCAGCATGTCTAAATACCTGAAAAGGAACAACACAACAATCCTCACCTTTGTTTTATTATTTTTGAATGTTACTTTTCCAAATAGGTAGGATCCTATTTGCTTGAGCATTTCATACACTGCTCTATACTTTCTTTTGCCACCACCATCCTACTCTCCATCTCTCGTTCTCTCTCTTTCTCTTTCTCTCTCTCTTTCTCTCTTTCTCTCTTTCTCTCTTTCTCTCTTTCTCTCTCTCCCTCTCTCTCCCCTCTCTCCCTCTCTCTCCCTCCCTCTCCCTCTCCCTCCCTCCCTCCCTCCCTCCCTCCTCCCTCCCTCCCTCCCTCCCTCCTCCCTCCCTCCCTCCCTCCTCCCTCCCTCCCCCGCCCTCTCCCTCTTTCTCTTTCTTTTTCACTCTGTTCCCACATTCATATTCTGTAATATTACTCTCCCTTTGTTCTCACATGCATCTTTCCTTGCTTCTATTTTCTCTCTGTTCTGCTTGGTCCCTCTTCTTATTCCATATTAATAGCAGCAGGAGTAGTTCCTATCTTATCACTGTCAGACACAGAATCACGTTTTATTGTTTGAAGTGTTATTTGTAAAACAGTAGGAGCTGTTTATTTACATTGCAATTTCTTTTTAATGCTGTCAGGTTTGATACTTTTACCTCCTTGTAAGAGGAGACTTTGATTTTGTCATGACTGATGCATTTTGATTAGTGCAGCTTTGTCAGTAGAATGTTCAAGATTAAGAGAGGTGTTATAGTAATACATATAATCCTAGACTGACATATATAATGTTTTTGTCACTGTTTTGTAATATGCTACACTAATTCCGCAGCATGGGAGGGCTTTGGAAAAGCAGCTCATGGCAAAGTTTGACTGCAGTGTGGCCAAGGTCTTACCGGCAATCAAGAGAGCTCCCCCTGTCAACCCATACTTTACATCTTCAGGTTGGGATATGTGCTTATGCCTTCTGACATACATTTAGTATGAAATTCCTTTGCTAAAGAGGATAGGAGAGTTGCTAGATCATACAATTGACTATGTGTGTGTATGGGGGGGAACTATGTATGTTTCCAGGTAACTGAATGTGATTTAATGATATTTTTACCTCTTAGATGACAGGCTGCTTGAATATGACACTGATGGTATTGTCTTCGAGGAGCAGTCGGAATTCCAGAAGGTGCAGATATACAGCACAAAAAGTTTCGGAAACCTCTTGGTCCTAGACGACCTCCAAAGTAAGGAGAATTTGAAAGAGAAGATGACTGTTTTGGAATATTTTGAGATATCAGTAGTTGTTAGATATATATTTTATTTTATTGTAGACTAATTTTGTTTTATCATGTTATATTTATTTTTGTTACTATTGTATATTATGTGAGTGGTACTATAATTTTGGTTATTTGTAGGGTAATGTGTGGTATGAAGTATTAATTGTTTCTTTACTCAATCATGTTTTCTGTGTCGTGGTCAAAGGTTGGATGAGCTTGTTTACTCGAAAGCCTTGCCAACACTGTCTTGTCATGCCATCTCAACAAACCTAGCTAATTATGATTTGCCATTCCTAATATTCCCCAAGATGTATTTTTGTTGAGTAGGCATTGATCTTTTGCAACCTTAGTCATTCATGACAGGATGATGTCCTAACATGTCTTGGCAGACTATCCCTTGTACTGAGGTGATGTCTTCACATGTGCAGATGAGCCACTCCAAGTTATGTACAGTAAACTGTGGTGCATTTGTTAGGCTCTAGCTACGGTCATTAAGGTGGAACAGCTCCTCAAAAAGTAGCCTTACAATGTGTTTTTAGCTTCATCATCTGAACAGTTCTTTATGCTGCCGCCAAGAGCAATGAGAGCCGGATAATTTTATGTTTCTTAAGCTTCTAATTTTCCTTAGAGTAGATGACTCCGCATGTGCCCCATTTTGGGGTTCGTTATGGCATGCTCACAAGTGGGCTAAAACACTAACACTTAAAATATTTTCCACTATCTCATCCCATCAGGCTCTTTGGATAAAAGAAATAACCCCTTTTGAAAATACCACATGTACTTATTTGTGATCAAAACTTTTATCATTCAAACAGACCTTGCAGAACAGGACTTACCATACACCCATGGTCTCATGAACAAGGACAAGGAGGACTTTGCAGGGAAGGAAATACTGATCCTTGGAGGTGGTGACGGGGCCCTTCTGTGGGAGCTGCTGAAGGAGAAGCCCAAATTCGTCACCATGATTGACGTGAGAACTTCAAAGTTTTGCTTGGTGTGGAGAAGGATGAGGTTAAGAGGATGGAGGAATGGATTTTGGGAAATAAACAGTGAAGGAGAGGAAGAGAGAGTGAGAGGGGAGATTGAGGAAGAAAGTCTTATTGATTTTTCACGGGGGAGATTGATACGGGAGCAAAGAAGGAAGAGAGGGATGGGAAGGGCAAGGGAGATAAAAGGAAAGGAATTATTAAGGTGAAAATCAACAGAACTTGATGATTCATAAATTTATACTTTTATGAGAAGTTAATCCAGAGATAGTACATACTGTAAATATAAAATGGAGTAATACACAGTAAATATTTGTGGACTTGCCCAAATACAATGAAATTTTGGACCATTAGTGGCAATAGAACACTGGCTGAATACAGATTGACAAATATTTTTATGTGCAATGAGGATTAAAGTTGATATGGTACTATAATACAATTTGATTTGCTACTCAGTATTCCCAGAATATAGTGATCATGGCACAGTCGTAGAGCTTAGTAAGTTTGAAAGCATACATGGTGGTTCTTTTGGCTGGGTATGTTGTCCTGATTACCATGCCAATGAGGAAGTTTTGGAATAGGTAATAGAAAATGTGAGGTGATGACACTGAACTTAAACTGAGTGAGAGTGAGTGAGTGAGTGAGTGAGTGAGTGAGTGAGTGAGTGAGTGAGTGGTGAGTGAGTGAGTGAGTGAGTGAGTGAGTGAGTGAGTGAGTGAGTGAGTGAGTGAGTGAGTGAGTGAGTGAGTGAGTGAGTGAGTGAGTGAGTGTGTGTGTGTGTGTGTGTGTGTGTGTGTGTGTGTGTGTGTGTGTGTGTGTGTGTGTGTGTGTGTGTGTGTGTGTGTGTGGTGTGAGTGTGTGAGTGTGTGCGTGCGAGAGAGTGTGAGTGTGTGCGTGCGAGAGAGTGTGAGTGTGTGCGTGCGAGAGAGTGTGAGTGTGCGTGAGTGTGTGCGTGCCGTGCCGAGAGAGTGTGAGTGTGTGCGTGCGAGAGAGTGTGAGTGAGTGCGTGGAGAGTTGAGTGTTGCGTTGCGGAGAGTGGAGTTGTGCGTGCAGGTGTGTGTGCGTAGAGAGGGTGGTGCGTGATTGAGTGTTGTGCTTGCAAGGATGTGAGTGCGTGCGAGAAGAGTGTGAGTGTGCTTCTAGAGATGTATGTGCGTGCCGAGAGAGTGCTGATTTCGCTCGGAAAGTGTGATGCCTCCTCTTGCGTCGAGAGAGTTATTGCGTGCCGACAGAGTTGAGTGTGCTGCGTGCACGAGAGTGTGAGTTCGTCTGTGCTGAAAGATGTGAGTGTGGTCGAGAGAGTGGAGTGGTGCGCGATAGAAAGTCCTATTTTGTGCGTGCAGAAGAGAGTGAGTGTGGCTCGATAGATGTAACGTGTGGTGCTGTACAGAGCCTGCTGCAGTTTCCGTCGACAAGATTGTGAGTTAGTGCGTGCTAAGATGGAGTGTGTTGTCGTGCGACGAGTGTGATGTCGTGTCAGTTGCCGATTCGAGAGTTGAGTGCAGACCTTGCGCGAGAGAGACGTGATGGTGCAGGCGAGAAGAGCCTGTGAGTCTGGCGTCGAGAGAGATTAGTTGGCGTCGAGAGAGTGTAGTTGCGTGCATAGAGAGTTGAGTGTTGCTTGCAGAATTGATGGTGCGTTCGAAGAGTTGAGTCGTGTGCGTCCGAGAGATTTTCTTGTGCTCTGAGGAGTGTGAGTGTGTGCGGCAGAAGTGTGAGGTTGCTCAAGATAGTGTGAGTGTGCCGTCGATGAGAGTGTGAGTTGTCGTGCGAGAAGTGTGAGTTTGCAGTGCAGAAGTTGAGTTTTGCTTCAGAGAAGTGTGGAGTGTCGATGCGCGAAGATTGAGTGTGTGCTCGAAGAGTTGAGTGTGTGCTGTGCGAGAGAGTGTGAAGTGTTCGTCGAAAGTGTGATGTTAGCGTCGAGAGAGTGAGGTGCGAGAGTGTGAGTGTGCTGGCGATCGAGATGTTGAGGTGTGCCGTCGAGAGAGTTACAGTGTGCGTCAGAGAGAGGTATTGCTGTGTCGCCGAGAAGTGAGTGGTGCTGCGATTGAGTGTGATTTGCCGTGCGGAAGAGATTGTGAGGTGTGCGTGAGAGATGTGATTGTGTGCTCGAAGTAGAGTGTGAGTGTGTCTCCGCAGAGAGTGTAGCACTGTCGTGCTGCAAGAGAGGTGAGCTGTGTTCGCCGAGAGTTGATTGTGCTGCGAAGAGTTGAGTTGTGCTGCGAGAGAGTTGAGTGTGTGCAGGTGCGAGAGAGCTGTGAGTGGCGTGCGATAGATTGTGAGTGAGTGCGTGCATGAAAGAGAGAATTGAGTGAATTGTGCTGTGCGAGGAGTGAGTTTGCGTGCGAGAGACGTTTGAGTGTGGTGCGTCATGAGAGTTGATTGTCGTGCCGAGAGATGTGGATTTGTCGATGCGAAGAAGTGTAGAGTGTCATCGCCGAAGAGTTGAGTGGTGCCTTGCGAAAGGTGTGAGTACCACCCCTGTGTGCGTGCAGAGAGTTGAGTGTCGTCCGAGAGAGTGAGTTTGCTCAGAGAGTGGAGTGCGTCTGCAGAGATGTGATTTTGTGCGTGCCCGGAGAGTGTGTAGGTGTCTGCAGAGTGTTAGTGCGTGTGATGTTGCGTCGTCGGTGTGCGTGTTGTGCGCTAGTGCGGTTTTTCTGTGGCGTCTGTGCTCTTTTGTGCGTCGTGATGTGGTGTGATTGATTGAGTGAGCTGTGGTTTGTGTGTTGTTGGCTGTGTGTGTTGTGTGTGATCTGAGTGTGAGGTGAGTTTCGAGGTGTTGTGTGTGTTGTGTGGTGGTATGAGAGAGTTGAGAAGAAGAGAGTGTTGTTTGTGTTTGTGTGTGTTGTGTGTGTGTGTGTGTGTGCATGTGTGTGTGTGTGTGTGTGTGTGTGTGTGTGTGTGTGTGTGTGTGTGTGTGTGTGTGTATGTGAGTGTGTGTGAGTTTGGTGTGTTTTTGGTTGCTTGTGATGCTTTTTATGATGATATTCTTCCTGATTGCAGATTGATGACGTTGTGATGAAAGCTTGTCGCAAGCACATGAAGTCAGTATGTGGCACCTGCATGGACAACTATGATGGAGAGAACTATAAGGTGAGAGCATGTTTTTTTTTTTTTCTATCATTATATCATTATTTTTTATCTTATATATTATTACTATAAAAACTACCCTTCCTTTTAGGTTGACTGGTTTTGAGTTATCAAGTCTTCCTTTTTTTTCCTTCTACTTTCCGTTTCTTTTCTTTATTTTCTTTTTTCATGTATCATTGTTAAGTACTGTTTAGTCAATATATCTTACACTTGAAGTGTAAGCCATTTTTATACACACAACATTGTAATATCGATTTACCCTGGATCATTATTATGCAATTTGTTATGCCATGTAAATCATGCTTTTTGTACCACCACACACATCTATTTTGAAACTTCACTTGCCAGAAGCCATGAAGCCAGGAGCAGGGTGTAATGTGTACTGTATCAAGACTGTAATCATGCATAGTGTATAATTTTATGCAGTTCAGGACAAAATGAAAGTTTAATGTATCTCTCTCATGTCTGGGTTTGGCAAAAGAATATGTTACTGTGAATTAAAAACTGAAAGAAAATACGGTCCATGAAATTTAAATGAAAATTAACCCAATTGTGCTGGGTGTCACATATATGAGACACCGGAAAAAATAAACATTGCCGGGCGTCCCGCCAGTGTGACGCTGTATCGGGGCTGCGCTCCGGCGCAGCAGCAGCAGCACGCGGCCAGGCGGGTGGACAGACTCCGGGGAAGCTCTGCCCGCCGATTTTTGTAGCCCGCCCGGATTTTTTATATTGGCTACAAAATGTACTTGGCGTGAGTGGGTTAAGGTGCTGGTGCTTATGTAGAGAACAAGAAAAAGTTTGTTTTAAATAGATCAAGATGAAACAAAAATTCTTTTATACATTATATACAGTGTTTCCATTCAGAACATTTGAAAATTAGACTGTTTTTATCCAGTGTTTGCTGATAATGCCTTTGCTTTATAAGTACATGGAACCAGAACAGTATAGTCTAGTGTTTCCAGGGTACATTTGATGACCAGTAAAAATTTGAATAATTGATGTCTATTTTTAAAGCATACTTTTTACATCATACTACAATAATGCACACCTCTTCATCCTTTCCAGATTATTGTTGGAGATGCCATTAAATACATGAAGGACTACATAAAGGAAGGGAAACAGTTTGACTATGTGTTTGGAGACCTCACAGATGTGCCCATCTCTCCCACCCCCCGAGGGCAGCTATGGGACTTCCTGCGCACCATTCTTGGTCTGGGGATTCAGTGTGTCAGGCCAGGCACTGGGAAATATATGACACATGTTAGTGTGCTCTTCCTTTATTGTTGTTTCTTCATTTTGTTTTTATTTATGAATTATGATTTTATTTAGATGTATTATAATAGAACATCAGCCTTGTGATCATCACATTTGCCAACAATTTTCAGGCTATTGGAATCCAGTGTTCAAGTGCTCTGAAAATGTTTGAGGAGCAGTTCGAAGCCCAAGACATCCCAGTGACTCTGACACGTACAAGCCATTACGTGCCATCCTTCATGGAGTACTGGTGCTTCTACCAAGCCACCCGCAAGGCAGCGTAGGGCAGGACACACATTCCTTAGGCTTGATTTTGTTACGGCTTTACAAAATGAAGTATCGTGTTGCAGCTCTCCCAAGATGAAGTATATACATAACTAAATCTGTCTATATATTATAAGCTGCTTATATATTGTTGAACATCTGAATTCAGTACAACTAAATAGATTTTTACCTAATATTTTTTAGACCTGTTTTTTCACCAAATGCTATTAAATTTATGCATTAGATATTTTTAGAAACCGCATTTTATTACTTTTTGTGTACTATGATATTCGTAAAACAGTTGTTACAAGGCCAGTTTATTGCAAAGCAATGTGATTAGTCTTTTTAAACCATAATTATCATTACTAGATTAACTATTTGAACCTGATCACCCATTGATATTCATCAGTAGTATTCCAAAGACACTGGATGGTTGTTTTACATCTCGAGTAATACAATTACATGAGTCTACCTTTTTGTTGTATTTGATCTAGCCTAGAATATGATTTTCCTAATAAAAACGGAAATCAGGACTTTTGTTATCTATTTGATCTCCTTCAAAAGGCTTGCTTTGAAGATGCAATTTTTTTATTAATGGGTTAGAATTAATCATTTCCAATGTTTCTGTTCATGAGACTTATGGAAATTATAGTCATGAGGTAAAATCTATGAATATAACTGGGAATCTCAATTGAGTTGACAAGTCATAACAGTTGTACCTGCAGTGAAAAACCATGGAAGACAAAAAGTAAAGGAAATCCTGGCACCACTCAGTCACCAGGCACTCCTTCCCCTTTCATTTCCACTCTTCTGACATTAAGCAGGGCAAAATATCAATTCTAAAGGTGATAAAAGTTGGCAGAGCTCAGGTTAAGAGGAAATGGTACAAGGAAAAGTCATTTAAAACAATGTACAGTAAGTATCTCCTCAAAACAAATAGCTCATTACAAAGTAATGATTAGGAAATATGAAATATAAAAGACCAGCTCAGAGAAACTGGCTAAAGAGATGAGGCCTGCCCTAAGTTAAGCAAGGTCAACACTATGCACAAAATCTCCAGTAGATAATGAGACACAAGGCCTACTAACCTGTTTCACAGAGTTTATAGATAGGGCTGATATCTCCTCATTATACAGTATTAGGAAATCTCTACACTGAACATGGTATATTGCCATACTAGATGAGGTAGAAGTAACTAAAGGAAACTTACAGGGACACATTACCTGTGCATCAATACAGAAGGGAAAGCATTCACTCTACAAGCCAGAATACTTATGACATGTAACTCGCAACCCAAGAGTGCCACTAGTTAGGGCCACAGGCAAATTGAACAGACTGTGACCTTTGTGACAGCAGGACACAATTCCTAAATCAGAGCCGAGAGACTGGCATCCTAGAGGAGTAAATGATGATATAATTCATTAAAAAAAGAAGTAGCCTAAAGTAGTAGTAAAAATCATAAAATCCCCACTGCCCTGGTGTGTACATGGCTAGTGAGAGATTATGCAGAGGAACAAGAGTGAGTCGTGTATAAATCTCAACATTTAAAAACACACATCTAAAATACGAAAGAAGTGTATATTGCCTTGCAAGTAAGTAATGCTTTAGGTGCAGTTTGTTGTATCATCAGTAGACTATATTGAAAAGTATCACAGCTTCTTATCTTCCCTACTGTAATATATCTTGTATTCCAGACTCATCTGATTTTTAAAGATTTTTATTTTTAATTCCATTTGTTACAATGGATATTCTTTGCTGTGACATACTGTCTGTTTTATTTTGCTCCCAAATCTTCCCCTGTATGCAAGGAAGAGCCGGGGTTACCATTCACTGGTAGCGCACAGGATAGAAAACAGGTCTGCAAGATTGCTAGACCAGCACGTTACCGCTACGCCACACAGCACACAGCTGGCCAGAATGAGCTCCAGACCATTAACCACTGCCAGCCAATTTTTATATAATCTGTATTACTTAAAGTACTCAAAATAGCTTAAAACATCATAGATAGCAATATGATTCTGAATGCTAGAAAGTACTTATGTGAACATTCTGAATCTAGAACCAACTCGCATGTTGTTACACCATAGGTTTATGTACATGATAGTAGCACCTAAGGGATGAGATAATGCAGAACACATTACAAGAGAAAGTCAGCAATAATTATTATATTGAAAAAGTAGAAAACAAAATCTAACTTCTCAGGAGATAATATTTTTGTTTGTTATTTATCTGACCTAAAGTTGTTTAATTCAAAGGCATGATTAGATTTGCAGGTATTTTACTCTAATCCGTGTTTTTTGCTCTTGATAATGCATGCCCACACACAAACCTTTCAGTTCTTGTCCTATTTTAAAGTGTTTGAGTAAATTTCAATTCAAATAATTGTTTTAATTTTCAAACAGAACTAGTTAACTTTTTTATGAAAGGTGAAAATATATTTACATAATTTGTATGCACTGTGAAGAATTGCCAGGTATCATACTTAAATAATGCTGTAAAATCAACATTTGAAATCAAACATCATGATTACCATATTAGGATTTAGATTGCCATATACGCTTTAGTCTCTGTCTGTCTATCTATTCTTTCTCCATCTCCGGCAACTTCAAACATAATATCAATCACTTACTTACCAATGTGTATTAGAGTATACCATTACCGGTGCCTGTAATATCACCATTAATACAGATACACAGGCAAGTGTGCATGTATGTATAAAAGAAGAAACAGTTGCATCATATATACAAGCTAACACAAAGTAAAATAAAATCATAACTCAAAAGGTACACTTCTTTGTGGGAGATAAAACACAACAGCAGTGAGAAACACCCATTTCATGTTTATCATCCAGTGTTAGAAGTGAAATGAAGGTGAACTCTAACCATCACAGTATCTTCCTTTCTTACTGTGGTAGTTTCATTCTATCTTTGCATGTAAGGTGCTGCTTGTATTTTAGCATCTACATACTTTGTCTACATCCTTTTTCATGTCTCTTTTGTGAGCATATGTTCAAACATGTGTGACAAGGCAGAATTTCTCACCATAACTGTTTGTTCAGTGTGAAATGATGTGCTGGGTAATTTTTCATGGAACTTTTAGGATCCTTAACATTGATTTTGGGAACTAGTAAAAAAAAAAAATATAATATATATTTTGTTTATCTTCCTTGTTTTATTATTAGTCAACTCATTTTCCTTAAAGTTTAAATATTCATTCAACTTGACTAATTCAGCTTTTGCATATCAATTCAATCAATTTTCATTTCTTAGGAGTATAAATAAAACAATGCTTTAAGAGAAAATAGTGTCCTTTATCTCAAATATTGACCTTTAAATCAGTCTTACATACAAGGTCCAGACATTGCTGTCCTAATAGATTCTCTCAGTTTTAGATATATAATATTTCTTTATTCTGTACATCACCTTTATGATATTAAATCTTGACAAAGCTTTATTTTTTGTTTGTTTTTACAATATAATTCAGATTCAGGCATATATATATCTTTTAGCAATTTTGAACATGAAGCTGCACTGTTACTGATATATTATTTCAAATGTTTACGATCCTTTTAACAAAAGCAGAGATCTGCAGATTTACTGCAAGCAGGTTTTGACCATAAGCTGAAGTTTTTTTTAGCTGCAGTTTGTAGTTTTTACCAAAAGCTGCATTTTCAAACCACACACAGGAGCCTTCTTAATCCTAGCAAAGGTTAATGTAACCAAAGACCCAATGATATGTCACAAAATATTAAGAAATTAGTATATCTTCATAATTCCACATTACACATTCCCTTATACTGATATCATACATATGAAACATAATGATAACAATATTAATAATAATAATAATGATAATCCTGGTGGTAATAAAATTTCTTCCAGAAGAGTTCAAAACCTAGAATAAACACGTTTGTAGTCGTCTCTCTCAAAATAACAATCACGAACAGCACCCACCCACAAGCACACTACAGTTCAAAAGTGTAATGTCCTTCCAAAGCTGTTACATACACCAACACAGAGAAAGGTGAATAAGCAATACATGAAAAAAGGAAAAAAAAAATTACATTTATCTCAATCAAAATATATAACAATAATAATAAAGCAAGACTCTGAATTCTCGTTCCTGATCCTTTGCTTAACCAATATGATCTGAGATCCCAGCAGAGATCCCTAGGACAGAATGTGAGGACTTTCTCATTCCCGCTGAGGCAGAGGGGGACAAAAACCCTAACACTGAGAGGCGGAGAGAGTGAGAGAACACGGTAACAGATAAAGAGAGGAAAAAGCATTAAACAAAGATGACTAGCTAGGCAGGATGAATGCGTCGAAGCAACTACCTATCCAGTTAGCGCAAATGAAATAACAAATAAAGTAGCAATCGTAACAATAATTTAATAATATTTAAAAAATGTGAAAAATTTAAATAATCTTATATTTATCAATAAATCAAAGAGAAGAAATGACTACTTTTGCAAAATACAAAATGGATACTTTTAAGGTATCTTAGGGAAAACTGAATGGAAGAAACACAATTTTTCATCTGAGTACAGAATGCAGTTAGTTAAATAAGAGAAGAGAGAGGGAAAAAGCAAAGATATACTTAATGAATATTTATTAAAGGAAAAAAAAGTGTTCTAAGCAATTCTGAAATACTTCTTGAGTAAAAAAAAAAGAAAACCAATAGACAGAATGGAGATGCAAAGAAAAGAGTGTGATTACCAAATTGAGAAGAGAACAATATGACTCTTATGCAGTTTACAGTTGTTGCAATATGCACATAAGATAGTAATGCTAAAGAAGGAACAGTCACATCTGTGGCAGATACCCCTTCACTGTTCACTCAGCAAGTGGCATCACAACAAAGATAAAGGAATCGGAAACAAACACACACACGAAAAAAAAGGGAATATAAAAACAGCCCTGCCTCCAAGTTCTGTTAGTGAGGTGAGATGAAGTCTTCCTTAACAACGCATCACTTAAAACTACATTCACTGGAGGGCATACGCAAAGAAAACCTTCTCCTGACAAACATACACACACAACCCCAGGGAAGTTATTTAGCCCAGCGGGAGCTGCGATGCGGTATCATCATTGAGGAAAACGAGCCAGTGATGTGAAAGTGACAACTAAGACTAGGCATGATAAAAAGGACCTGTGTCTTGCTGTTGCTGATGAAGACTCTTCAAATATTCTTCCGTCTATCATCACGTTGCTAGAATGGGAGAGTGGCATAAAAATTTCAAATTATTAAGCTATGATTCTATAATGCCACCTACAAGTTCATCATAACTGGACAAGTTATTTACAAAAGTTTTTTTTTATGCCCATTGTCTGACATTAATTGTTACTGTGTTACAATTATCTATATCATAACTACCTTGTTAATCTCAGGAATTGTTAATATTGTTAAATCTGTCACTATACTGCATTTAAGATAACATGTATCAGTACACTTAGTCTGATGTAAAGTAATTGTATTAAAATATAATGAAAATGGTATTAACCTGGTTACACAGCCTCACTCTTATTATGCT